CTACTCTTTCTGGGAAATGCTGATTACGTGACACTGGGGTGAAATCAGCTGTACAGCCCCCAGTGAAGCAGGTGCTGACCAAGTCCATGCACAAAGGGCAAAACACTCATGTGCAAAGGCAGTCATCTCTGTTCTAAGATGCATAATTTTGTAACTTGTACGGCTGCTGCTGCCTAACAGCACCCCATCATTCCCAGACAAGAACCAGGTAAAAGGTGTATGTGCTTTCCAGGCAGCAGTGTGCCTCCGGATGGCCTCTCTCCTGCCTGCAGGCTACCTGGGCAGATCACAGACCTGAGTCCCTCTTAGAACCCACAGCGGAGGGTTATGGTTTTAAGTTTCTGGGTTGAACAGAAGAAATAATTAAATGTCAAACAACTGATCACACAATTATTTAGAGAGTCCTATAGGCAATGAAGTTATTTCACTTGTACCCAATGACAAAGGCATCTTGCCAGGTGCTCGCAAGAAACACACCAAGAAGTGCAACACCCACAACAGAGTGGCACACCGCTGACCTTCAGTTCTGAGTCCTTTATTGAATTAAGCCAGAAATCAATTTTAGAGAAAAGAATTACAGGATAATAACTAAATTTAATATGAAAATCTTTGTTCCTTACACACACTCTCCAAGGTAGGACATTTTAATTTTAAAAATTGCTAGCTTTTAAACAAAAATAAATTAAATGGTAGAAGAAGGACAACAACAAGCAGTCTTCTCCCCTGGTCTCTTTAAAGGCACTACCGTTAAAATACAAATTTTGTCTGGGAGCAATCAGCATCTGAGCTGTTCTCAGAAACAAGAGGCTGACACAGGTAAAACGTACTGAGCTACTATGCTGCAGGCAGGGTACACCCTAATTACAGAAGGGTATGAAAAAGCAGTCTGGTTTTGCTGTATTATGAGAAGCACACTGCTGCCCGTACTCAAGCAACATTTACTTCACCAATGTGGGAGAGCTCCATGGGAAGAGGCCTTCAAAGCATCTTTCACCCTGGCTCTTTGCCAACATAATCCTCTCCGGACCAGCGGGCCCCCATGGCTAAGGTAACTTTCCAGCTGAAATCCTCCTGGTGTGGCATATGCATTACACACAGTTCTCATGTTTGGATTCTGAGTGCACATGCTATTTCAGCAGTCTCCAAGTTTCACATTTCAGTAGCACCTGGGAACTGCACCCCTCACTTAAGGAAAGGCTGCAAGCCACCAGCTACTATCACACAAGAAGCTACACTGGTGAGAGGATCTTCAGGAAACTGCACAGCAAAAAACAGTTCATATTTTGACTTCTAACAACAAAGAAAGAATTGCTATTCTATATTCTGGAAGAATCATAATTTTTTTTTATTATTACCATAAGCTTAGAAGAGATGCTGCTGACCTCCAAGCAGTGGAAAAACAACTGCTTGCCACACAGACACAAGGGTGCACATCTGCCTGCCAAAGGCTTAGCTTGGCACCCTCAGAGGGGGCAATGACTGCAGCACGCTCATGTTGGGGACAGCACCAGCAAAAGGAAAAGACATGGCAGGGTTTACCTCGCACAGGGGAAGGCAGAGGTAAGGACTGCAATTACTGCACCGATTACTCAGTGCTGTTACCTGCTACACAGAGCCCCATTCCCTCTGCCAGCTGCAGTACTCTCTGGTCCCATACCAGTAAGCCTTAGAGGCTCCCCAGCATCTGATCACACAACTTTTAACAGTCACAAAGGTATAGCTTTGGAAGGAGACCAATAATGATCTCTCTGACTCGAAGACAATAACAAACTCCATTGCTCCAAGGGAATGAAAACTGGACCAAAATTTATCTCTGGGCTATCTGCTGGTAAAGTCATTACATTCGGCTCCTGTTATTTCTGTGAAATGAAGGACGGGAGGTGTGAAATTCAAACAGCCAATCTCATCAATGGAAATAACTTCCAAAATCACGAGAAAAGTAGTCACAGACAGAGTCAAACCTGTTTCAGATGTAATGTACAACCATCTCAGTTGCGGAAAACAGCTTTTGTTCTCTCTTCATTTTCTTCATTCTCTCCAAATTATGCTCAGCTTCTCTTTGTGTGATAGTGCAAACACGCCTTAACCCTCCAACAGAATCCCGACAACATGACCTTACAAACACCTCAAGGATGCTCAGGGGTATCTGGTTCTGGCACTAGTGCACAGTGAGATTTAGAGATAGGAAATGGGAGGTTTGTTTGCAAAATATTTTTTCCAATACATTAAAGACTGAGTTTCTGGGTTTCACCCTAGATGAGTATCATTTTGCAACACAGTGAAAATAAATTTGCCACATCCTACTCCCTTGAACACAGATGATTAAGGAGTTGTTAATCTGCTGCACCACATTTACACATTACACGATTCACAGTTGTTACACACCGTTTAACATGAGAAAAGCTAAAGAACAGTTGTCTGTGAGCTATATAATCCCACTTACAGAAAAAGAACAGGCAGAACAGGAACTGCCTGGTTGCATCATCTTTTGACATGCTGTCCCAGCACAGGTAGGTGTAAAGGAATCAGAGAACAATCCCCAATATACTGCTATTTGATTAACACGAGTAGTGTGATTTGGCAGATCCAACTTGAACAAAATATTTTGATATGCAAGAGAATTATGCAGAAAATACTTTGTTTGCAGAAACTCTCTTCTCCTTGGAAAAATGTCAGCCAAAACCACTTGCCTAGCTCTTAAGTAAATGCTTTCCCTCTGTTCACTTACACACAACTCAAAATATATCTTTATTGGGGAATTCAAAGAGATCTGCTGAAGCTGAGCTGGTTGGAAGAGTACCCATTCTGTCTTTAGAAGATCACCTGCAGCCATACCTGTAAACCTCAACAGTTGTACAGGTGATTGGAAGACTAGGGAAAGGAGGGGAAATGATACGAAAAATTCATGAGAAGGCCTCAAGAATACACTCTCCTTTCAACACACAGCATGGCTCTGAAATGTCAACATTCAAAATACCAGCCAAACCAGAGCAGAGACAGGAAACCAGAGGGCAGTGAAGAGAAACTCTCGAAATGAGCTGATTCATCCCAACACTGCAGGAAACCACCAAAGCAGAGAAGCCACTCACCAGTCTACTCAACATGTCTAAAATGAATGCAGCACTGCTCTCTGCTCCCATCTGTCCCCAAAGAAAAAGGAAGAGAATAAAGCATGCAGGGAAACTTCTGCAAACTGGGACATTCTTTACTAACCATATTAGTTAAAATCCTCTTTGAGTCAGCAAAACATTAAAGCTGCTCATGTTACTTTTCTCACAGTGCTTTTTCACAGCAAAGGAAACAGAGATACTTGCCACCAAGACCATGGTCAGTCCCTAACTGCTAACTACTTAGTCTGGATATAAAGCAACAACTTCCACTTCTAATCCGAATGTTTTTGACCACTTGACCTAAAGAGAAATATACCCCTGGAAACTAAAGTTGTGACCAGACCTTCATCTGTGATACCCAGATTTGCTTCCACCTCTCAGACAGTACCTTCTCTCCCCACCCCAGAATACCTGCCTGGCCTCAGCTCCTACATTTGAGCAGCCCAGAACACTCTGGGACATGCATTGCCCATAATAAATTGTTCTTGGCTCTACTCAGCTATTTCAAGGTCAGAAGTAAGAAGCTTTCTACAGAAAATGGGTTCAGAAATGGATCTGGCTTTCAGTAACACTGAAAGAAAAATAAACACATAAAAGCATACACTTAATTTCTACCTTAAATTATTCATTAAACAATGCATTTATGCCCTCCCTGACCCCAAAAATATTAAGGCCCCTTGAAACCACAGCAACTTTTGGAGGCACCTGGCACTCCTGCTGACAGTCCTAGCAAGTAGGTAACGGCCCAGAAGAGCAAATGACATGCAGGTTAGGGAAGATGCAGACTGGCAGGGCAGGACAAGAAGTGGTGTGCTGAGGCTGGAGGCACCACCTCAGCTAGTAATCTTCTGCAGCTGGCAGCTGTAGCAGCTGGAGCCAATGATCTCCTTTCATTTCCTTCTCCTCCAAGTGTGAAATTCTCTTGCTTATACTGATATGCATTCTCCCCTAGTACCTTCACTGACACAAACTATTTCAAGTCAGTAATAAGTCTTCATTATTACTGTGTACTTCCAGGTCTACAACATGCATGGATTAATACTTTATTATGTTCTCTGTGTTTTGATACCACTTTAGAGGTGCCACTGTGTATAACAGCCTTTGTGTGATCCTTCCTTAACAGTTTTGACTCCCAAAGGCTTGCCTCCAAAGTGAGGTCCATGAAAATAGATGTAGTAGGCTTGTTGAAACGACTGACAACAGTCAGAAGCTTTCCCCAGAGAAAGGCCAGCAGAAAACAAAGGTAGAAATACTTATGCAATCACTAAAGGACGCTGGAAATGTGTGTTCCAAATAAACACTCATCTTCGATATGCAAGTACCATTGTCTTTGCTGTCTCCCAAACATCAGCAAAAATGAAAATCAATGATGTTGCCTTGTTAGAAAACACAAATCAAAGCATCAGTGACTTTGTAAAATCCTTTCTATCACTCTGACCTTCTGGTGCCAGGCATCTCAGATTCATTACCGTTCATTGTAATGTCTAAAGAGGAAATCTGCAGCGCAACAGTATTTTAGAGTAACACACTAGTAGCAGGGATCATAACAAAAGCTAGGAAGCTGAGTATACAAAATGAAATTAAAATCCCATGAATGGATGCTTGTACTGCTTTGATGACCATACCTCACATCTAACTCATGCAAGTCACTTCTGCTGTTGTCGAACTGTACGCCAGGTCCCTGCCTTACCATCCACATCCACTGTTTCCTATAAAGAGTGTGGTTCTATTCTTGCCCAGTCAGTCTTGCTGGGAGCTACTGCTACTGCTGTTGCACCTTCTCCATGGCCAACAACAGAGTTGAATATCATAAATATGCTGGGCAACAGGCGATCAGCTCTTTCAGAGAATCCCTTGTAAGAAATAAGGAGGGGAGGGGGTGGTACTAACCTGAGTCTCCAAGCTGGTGTAGGGACTAGGAGGTTCAATCTACAAAAAGAGCAGACAGAAACAGCCATTACTCTGGAATAGTAGAAAGGAAGGTGTTCTGAGCCATTATTGGTCCACAGTAGTGATGTCAGGAACAAACACACCTGCTCAAACAAGGACAACAGATTTATTTTTTTTTTTTAAAAGATATCCTCCTTTTCCAGACACCCTACCACTGCACAAAAATCACATGATCTCTACAATATTTGGATGAATGAAGGAAGTTGCAGTAACCAGACAATATCAGAGACAGATTAGTTACAGATCATCTCAAAATCACATGCAGTCCCTTGCATCTTTGATTTAATCCTTTGTTACATTTCTTTCTTAGATTACAGTTGACCAGTGCTCCTGTAATTTCAAGGCATTAGAGCCTTTTTAGAAAGTTGATCAGGACTTGATGATGATAGGGTTGGCCAGATCCTCAGATAAACTCTTCCTCCCAACAACTGCAGTTACATTGTGGTTGGTTTACTTTCCACTAAAATTTCATCCTGATGAATGTCTCTCTCCAGCTCTTCACATTATATGTGCAACTGCACTGTGTGTTTTCTGCAGTCTGGCATCCTTCTTGGTGTCAAAATCTGAACTTTTAACTTGACTTGGCCAGAGGATTCAAAGCTCATTAAAGAGCGTCTAAACACAAAAGCAGCAAAATTGTCTATTTAGCCAGTTAATTAAGAGGTTAGAAAGAGATAACATCCCTACAGGAGACTCCATCATTAGTGTTCTGGGATTAGCGCTCAAGCAAAATCTTTAAAGGAACATCTTTTAAAGTATAACGAACATTTAAAACCTCAGTCCTGCTGGTCCAGGTATTACTCTGCAAGGTCTTGCTTTCTACAACATCCTGTTTAATTGGAAAGCCTAACAGAGTAGAACCAGGTCAATGATGCTTTCTCTTTAATCCATCACATCTGTCGAAATTAGACAGCTTTAGTTTAGTAGAGTAAATTCTTGTCTGTCAGATTATCAGGCTCCTGAGACTAATTCTGAGTTTTGATATCCCCAGATACCCAGGTCACTGTGATTCTCACTCTGGCTAAACCACAGAATGGAATTTTAAAAAACCCGGCTTTCCTCCAAGCAACTATATATTCCTTTTACTTTTAATTATGCCTATAAAGCAGCTTTTGGTTTAACATTCACTGTAAATACACTAATGAAGAAACAAGCTATCAACCCAGGAAAAAAAAAAAAAAAAGACTAGGAGGAAATTGGTCTTGAAACCCTTGATATATCCTTCCTCCCCTCAGTAAATCATGGGCCAGGCAGCACACTTGTGCCCAGATGAAAAAGTTCATGATTGCCTCTGTCACACTAACAACTTCGATATAACTAACTTCGATATAATGAGTTCTAGAGTACCATTATTATACACATGTAGTAAATACTATCTGACAACTGGCCAAATGATATCAAGACTGGAAGGAGACTGAGAAACCTTGGTGAAATCAAAATTACCATGTCATCAGCTAAACTAGGGGGAAAAAAATTATCTTAAGGTGAGAGAAGATGGGAGTGGAATCTTGTCCTTGGATGGCTTTACATTTCTAAAGACTAAGATGTCAGCACTCACAGTTCTTCTCTTACAGTCTTAGCAGGGATAAACTCATCCATTTTGCAGCTGGACTCTAAGCGATGCTAGTTTGGTCACAACATTGTCCTACAATGTCCCACTTGCATTTATATCATAGCAGGAAGATCACAATACTGACAGGTGTGTGTGGCAGATAGAATACAAAATGTGTTTAAATAGAAAGAGCAAAATACTACTGTAACAAAGAACTGCTCAGCTGCACAGACTCCCTTTTGGGAGATCATCTGGATTTTCTCAGTCACTGCCAATCTGATTGCAGACAAAAGCTTTTTCAGCATGTACTGTTCACTTCCAAAAGACATTATTTCTATAAGAGGAAGCAGCTACTGTATGTATAAAACATCCTGGAAAGATCAGGGGATTCCTGTAATAGATAAGGCTTCAGACTATTTAAAAGACGGACAAATGAAATCCAATGCTTGCTGAACAGATTTCCTTTGGAAATTATTCATTTCAAAAGCTTTCTTGACTAACTAAAACTGTAAATAAAAAAACAGGTCTTGAATAGCATTATTTCATCATGTGGAACATGGTGCATCAGCATGGGCCAATTAAACTGTGATGATACAGTTTTTCCTGTTTATTTTCCTCCTCATTTTGGCTATGGTTACTTGTATTAACTTGTACTGTAGCACTGCAGTGGGACCTGTTTCCCTCTGTCATTAGAAACACACATCATGGTGTTCACTTTGAATTACCTGGAAAAAAAAAACAAAGCTTGGCTTCTATGGGCAAAAGTAAAAACAAAACTGTAAATTTCTCCTTCCCCATATCACACTTTAGACCAGCACAATTTGTGTGGGTTTGGGTTGGGTTTTTCTACCTTTCTCCCAACAGCAGTTCATACAGTGCAACATCATTGCCTCTCAGCATCCACTGACTGAAACAAAGATGAAAAGACTTTGCTGGTTTGTTTCTGGATGCCACTTCTGCCTCACACAGAGGCTACTTCTTTCACTCAGTGCCCAACTACTTACTCTACTTTTCTGTTTCACTCATGCAGTTACAGGTACCAAACTCATCACAGCTCTCAGAGAACACATCCCAATTTAAGCAAGGCAGTCAGGAAGCTGAGGAGGGTGGAGAAGGAGGGAGGACATAAACATAGTCAAACTCAGTTTTCAACTGCAAAAAAGTTTTAAAATTCGAGCTCAATGTCAGCAACTTAAAAGAAAGGCTTTGACTCTTACTGCAAGAAGAGGCATGTCCTTAATGTTATCCACCTATCAGCAGTGCCAAATAAATGTCACGCCTGGGTAAATGCCATGGCTCTTCTCCAGCTCCTGTGCGTGGTCTGATAAACAGTTATGTATGGTAACATGCACAGGAACAGCCCAAGTGTGAGGGATGAGGGTATGCACTCCTTTTTTTAAAAAGTGATTTGTTTGGTAAATCTCTCTGCTTTGTTCAACCTGCCTGCTCTCATTGATTATTAGCTGCTAATGCAAGGTCTGAGACAGAGAGCAAAGTTATCACTCATCTATGTCTATGCAAGCAACACTTAGGAAAAACCAGCAGAACAACCAGCACCATTCTGAGCAAAGTTTTGCTTGGTCTGTGTATGTTCCACTTAAACTCTACAAGGTTTCACAAGAGCTGTAATCACCCTGGGGACATCAGCAATCATCCCATCTGAAATTTCAGACTGCCATTTTTCAAGTGCTATGAATCATTAATCAAGTGCTTGTGATCAAATGAAATCTTTAGTGGAATTGGAGTGTAAACAGTATGACATTGCTGTATAAACGGCATGACACATCCCGTTTAAAGATTGATCAGGGTAAGTCTCTGTTTACTAGTGAAAAGTGGCACAGAGTACATAAATTCTGGTCTAGGGTTTGGTTACCATACTTTTTCATAAAGGGCTAATGTCTTGCACACATACAGGAAAGAGATAGCTCTTTTCACAGAGGTTGAAACCTTTTCAAAACAAAACAAAAGGATGGAAAGACTCAGAGAACTAAGGTACAGACAAATAAACCAACTATTCCAAAGTCACACAGGAAATATGAGAGAAATCCCTAAGTCACTTCTAGGAACCTGACCACAAGACATGTCTCTCTCATGCCACAAAAAAATGTTTTTCTAACACTGTGTCAAGAAACATCAGGTTTGAATATGTTAACTCAATCTACGCCTCAATCACACATTTTTGGTGGTGGTCCGAGACTGACTGCAGGAAAACCCAGTGCTTAGACTTAGCAAAGTGCCTCTGGCTGCACTGGACCCGATCCTGCATACATGTCTTCCATTTGCAGCCCCTTCCATCACTTCTCAGCTGTGCATTTTTGGTTCCCTCACAGCTCTGTTCAGCTTTGATGACCATGGCAGGCACTTGAAAAGCTTTTTTTTCACTTGATGGGGTGATTTTCACTAGTCACTTCTCTCCACTCCTGGAGGCAGCAGTGTCCTGCCGGTGGCTTGGCACGGAGCAGTAGTTCCCCAGCAGCAGTGCCAGTTGTAGGTGCCCTCACCCCAGAACCATAGCAGTTTTTGCACCCATGTTTTGTACAGCCAGGCCCTGACTCACACAGGGGAACCAAACCAGCTTGAAAGGTTCTTTTAAAATTTTATTTATTTGTTCTGTATCACTTTACAGCTGAATCCATTCCTTCATCCAGCTCATGACACAAGGCCAGGAGACCTGTGCTGACACAGCATAGGTGTGGCCAGCAAAGCCAGGAGGGGGAGGACACGAAGGAGAATCAGCAGCCAAAGACAAGGTAAGGATGCAAGTAGCAGTAACAAATGCCAGCATCGCCACCAAATATTTCTTCTCATGAAACCACAGTTTCAGACAAAGACACAAAACATTCACCTAAAAGTGACATTTCATACGTCCTCTCCAACAGCTCTGCTGCCTGCAAGGCAGGACCACATAACAGCAGCTCCCTGTGTGGGCAGTGCTGTTTTTACAAATTGCAGTTGAGGGCTACAGCTATCCCAGGCCACTGCGGCTTTGTGTCTTCTGCTGACTCATTTCATGACCCAGGGATTTGTTAGCCTGACAGCCTGTGGTTTTTATCCTACGCTCAAATTTGGCTCAAAACCTTTGCATATTCACAGAAACAAACCAAAGCAAACAAACAGGATTGGAAGGGACCTCCTGGACAGCCATTTCCCCGTGTTTCTGCCCATCTCTCCACTAGCAAGGGGAACAGGAGTCAGCTAACCTCCAAGTGCCCTGGAGCAGCACCCTGGGAGCTTCCCTGCAGACCAAGGGAGCGTGGCACATGCCTGCAACAAAAGCCAGCATCTTATTATAGGCAGTGTTCAGTAACCTTAATTGTAACCCTTTAGATATAGGTCAAATTAACAGCTGCCTCTACACCACCAGCTACCTCACACACACGCTGACTTATCTGGGGAAGAGAGACTCTCCAACAGCACCAGTACCACT